GGATGTTTTTCTCCACGTTTTCCAGGCGCTGTTTCTCGGTGGTGATCTTGAGTTTGAGCAGGTGGAAGGGGGTGGGCACCTCCCCCACGTTGAGGTGCGTGGGCTCCTCGTTGAACATGAGCCCCTCACACTTGGCCTCCCTGAAGCCCGGGGGTTGGTAATCGGGGGGTGTCACTGCAGGGGGGGAGCCAGGAAAGGGGTCACAATGGAAAAATAACAGGAAAACTCTTTGCTCCTTTAAATATAAGAAAAAGAAAATATAATATAAGAAAAAACTGTGTGTGTGTGGAGGGGAATAATCAATACTGAGCTTGGAGTGAGTGAAGGTCTTTTCTCTCTGCTGAGCTGTTTGAGAGAGGTTGGAGATATAAAATAGAGAGATATAAAATGATAAGGAAAAAACAGTTTGAAAGCAGGGCCAGAGGTTTGGAGAGTCACCAAACTGGAGCTGGGCTGGCAAAGTGTGTGACAGCCTAATCTGTCACACTGTGGGGAACCCCTGGAAGCACCCCAAGATCCGAGGAAGGCAGAAGGAAGAAAGGAAGATCACCCCCCTTCCCCTCGGAGCTTGGGTGGGGAAAAAGCGAAATAACATCGTTTCCCAGGTGCCAGGGGATTGGAATCTCCCAATATTCCCGTGGGTTGTGGGGAAGCAGGGAAGGGGGCAGGGGGCAGGGTACCCTCGTCGTAGTAGAGCAGCTTCATGGTGAGGCAGACGTCGCTGGGCAGAGGGCTCAGGTTCTGCATGAGCACGAAGATCTTGCGGATGAGGAGGATGCTGGCCTTCCTCGTGTCCAAACACGGGATGGGAGAGCCACAGGGATCCCTGCTGGGATATACAAAATCATGTCAGATCTCATGGATGAGCAGGATGCTGGCCTGGCCTTCCTCGTGTCCAAACATGGGATGGGAGAGCCACAGGGATCCCTGCTGGGACACAGAGTCATGTCAGATGTCATGGATGAGCAGGATGGATCCCTGCTGGGATACACAAATCATGTTAGAGCTCATGGATGAGCAGGATGCTGGCCTGGCCTTCCTCGTGTCCAAACATGGGATGGGAGAGCCACAGGGATCCCTGCTGGGATATACAAAATCATGTTAGAGCTCATGGATGAGCAGGATGCTGGCCTGGCCTTCCTCGTGTCCAAACACGGGATGGGAGAGCCACAGGGATCCCTGCTGGGACACACAAAGTCATGTTATCTTGGGGGTGCAGAGTGAGGGGTCTCCAGAGTTGAGAGATCCAGCTGTTAAAGAGGGAATGGGAGGGAAGAGAGAAAAAAGAGAGAGAGAAAGAGAGGAGAAGGAGAGAAAGAGAGGAGAAAGAGAGAAAGAGAGAGGGACGAGAAGAGAAGAGAAGAGAAGAGAAGAGAAGAGAAGAGAAGAGAAGAGAAGAGAAGAGAAGAGAAG